CTGCGGTTCAAAGTGCAAAAAAAAGATCTCCCGACGCGAGACGGGAGCGTTACGGCTGCCCGTATCATGGGTGGGCGTATGGTGGATCATGCGCGGGCAGTTCAATCCGTTGCAGCACAGTTGGCCACCATTCTGGACCTCCCGTGGGATCTTCTTGCAACTCATTGCAAGTCGCGGTTGCCTGCGTTCAAGGAGGTGTAGCAGCGGACTAGATGCTTGGGAAAAATCGGCTCCGTATTGGCCAATCTCTTGAAAGATGTATGGCCTGGACACTTTACATCCGATGTACGTTGGTGGGTGGTGCTTAATTGTGTAACACCCAGTGACTTCCCACGACCAAGCGTTCCGCTTCAATGAAAAAGAGGAGTATCCCGTCGTCCGCTGTGCACATGTCAGTGATTCGATTGCTATATACATATATATATATATCATTATTATCTATATATTTTGGTGATTGATTATAACATTTTTGGAAGAAAAGTTTTGGAAATTCCTAAAGACGATTACTTTCAAGGCGATTTGAGTCGATTTGGGGGCACGACCGACATGCTGCAGGATAGGTCTGGAGAAGGAGTTTAAAAGCGCTCGAGGTTAATTCTTCAGAATCAACGTTTTTGCGTGATTCCGTAAGATTACTTTAGAGGCGATCTGAGTCGATTTGGGGGCACGACCGAAAAATCAACGATTTTGGAAACTTGCAGAAGAATTTTGAAGGCGATTTGTATCGATGTGGGTGCATGACCTGAATGCAGGATAGGTCTGGAAGAGGAGTTTCAAGGCGTTTCGAAGTTAACTTTCCTAAAAATCAACGATCTTGGGAGATTCCGGAAGGTTACTTTCAAGGCGATGTGAGTCGATTTGGGGGCACGACCGAAATGCCGCAGGATGGGGATGGAAGAGGAGTTTAAAGGCGTTCCAGGTTTAAATTTCTTCGAAATCAACGATTTTGGAAACCTGCGGAAGAACTTTGAAGGCGATTTGAATCGATTTGGGGGCGCGGCCTAAATGCAGGATAGGTTTGGAAGAGGAATTAAACGCGTTTCGAGGTTAAATTTCTCCAAAATCAAGGATTTTGGGAGCCTTTGGAAAACGACATTAAAGGCGATTTGAATGGATTTGGGGGCGCGCCCTAAATGCAGGAAAGGTTTGGAAGAGGAGTTTGAAGGCGTTGGAACTTCAATTTCTTCAAAATCAACGATTTTGGACGCCTCCAGAAGATTGCTTTAAAGTCGATTTGCATCGATTTGGGGGTGCGACCGAAATGCTGCAGGATAAGTGTGGAGGAGGAGTTTCAAGGCGTTTCGACGTTAACTCTCCTTAAAATCAACGATTTTCGGAGCCTCCGGAAGACAACTTCAAAGGTGATTACAAAAATTAGGGCACGACTGAAATTGTTGCGCCGGAAGAATCACAGGGCGGCGGCGCACGACATCAAACAAGTTATGTGGGTTTAAGCACGGTATAACGACATCGTCTTGTATCCTCTACAACTATCTTTTCAGGCAGATATAATAATCGTTTACGAATGGTTTTTGCAATGCATTCTTGTACATAGCTTGGAGATTCTTGCGTCGCTGTTACGGTTGTAAGGTCAGGGGTGTCTTTGCAGGTTGGTGGAAGCAAGTACACTCAACAAGTCGTCCGGGAAAATATGAGTTGGTAAGCTTAGGAAGCTTTTTGGGCCCTAGATTGATTTTGGCAGGGGTTTTAGTTTGAAGGCCTTAGGGGGCCCGGGTCCAGGAGGCTTTGGAGCCCCCCAAAAATGTTTTCCACACATGGCTTCCTCATGACTGCCCGCGATTTCTCTGCCCAGATTCGTAGTGACCTTTCACCTTTCCATGCCCCCTTGAGATTTTGTACTTGAGAATCATCGCACAAAAGTTTTCTAGGACACCATGCATATCAAGCAAAGCTAGGTACAAAAACACAATCTACATTTTGTAATTTTGTGCAAAGTTCAAAAACACGGGGCCGCATTCAGATGTTTTTCGTTTTTTAAGCAAAATAAGCTTTGCAACAGTTTGTTGGCCAAAAGCCATTGGCAACGGAAACAATCAAACAAACAAATGCCAATGAGGTAGCTGAGGTATCATTCGCACAGATTTTTAGAATGTGGCATGCTTCACGCCCGTACGCTGTGGTGGTGTGCAGCGATTCGAATATAGAATATTCAGTGCAATCCAAATGGCATTCGTATTGTCCCAATCTGGCCACTCGCAGGCCGCAATTCAGACGAACAATTGGGGGTTAGAGTCCAGATCTGGATTCGCATGGTTGGCAAATTTGAAAACCATCCTGACACATGAACGCACTGCATCAATGCCAACACATTCGCTGGAAGAGAGCGTGCGTTGTTGCAGTAGGAGCAAAGTCCTCACAATTTTTTCGACAACATACATCTGGGCTGAACTGCGCGGTTGCGTGCTAAGAAATGCGCAGTCCAATGTTTGAGAGAAGACGGTGCAATGTCACAACATGATGGCATATTGAAAGTTTTCCAACATGAACAGAGCGGACGAGATAACTTGCATTTATTTGTTGAACGCGGGGAGTTGCCACCTGCATCGGTTTGGACAAGAGCGCGCCCAAATTCCCGGAACTCGAACACGCAAATCCAAACACATGAATGCGTGGCATACAGACCGTCCTTCCGTGACAGTTTGGTTGGCCTCCAATTGATTCCTCATCAACCCGTGTTTCGGCCATGATCAGGCGGCAGCGTTTCTGTTGTTGGAATTAAATGGCGGATCAAACCCTTTATTTTCATGATGATCGTTAAGCCATTGGGTCAAGCGAAGTTTGTGGGCACGTGTACGGACAAAATGCGATTCGTCTACCACGAAGCATGTGGCCTCCACATGATTTTGTTTGGCCTGCTGCCCCTTGTGGCCGCGTCTGTGGAAACATGTGCGCAAGGCAGGGCAAATTGGCAGTGTTAGTTAGTTGTCAGCATTTGAGGTGAAATTCGCCCTTACAGGACAGCGAGCAAACATACATTGTTTTGTGTGTCATGGACGTGTGACATGTAACAGACTCTGTCAACTTGTGTGGGCCAGGTGCTGACAACATGAACGGCACAGAAGAGACAGTGCTAATACAGCACCATTCCATTGGCAACAAGCAGAACAGCAGGATTCCGCACAAATCTGCGTTGCTGATAATCGACATGCAGAACGACTTCATACATGGGACTTTGCCAGTTGGCGGTGCAGAGTCCATCATCCCAATAATCAACAAGCTTAGTGCACTGAGTGCGTGGGAGTTTCTGGCTCTCACCACGGATTACCATCCAGCAAACCATATCTCATTTGCTTCAAATAGCCCCCACAACTTGGAACCGTTCATGTCCGTCGACATCTCTTACACCGACTCCCGCACAGTCTGCGGCGACGAGTACAAGCCCATTTACCATCAATCTGCAGCTGGCAACTGCACCGCTGATGACGTGCATGTCCACTTCTCACAGGAGCTCTGGCCAGACCACTGCATTCAGGGCACGTGGGGACAACACATCCATAAAGATGTCACTGTTCCCAAGCAGGCCTTCTTGGTGCGGAAAGGCTTAACAACCGTTATCGACAGCTACGGGGCCTTCACAAACAACTACGGCATGTATTTGACAGACCGTAGCCCCGAGGCTCTGAAGCTAATCGAGGAGAATTCTCTCACGGACTCCTTGAATGCGCTTGGTATCCAGCACGTCTATGTAGCTGGCCTTGCTTTGGATTATTGCGTTAAGTACACGGCCCTGCAGGCCTTACTGCGCAACTTTGCCACGTACCTTATTCTTGATGCCACCAAGCCTGTGATGGAAACAACTGGTCAGGAAGCCGTACATGCGGTTACAGCCGCGGGCGCCATGGTTGTAGAGTCCTGTACAATTTTGGGCACCTGCTGATCTCCCACACAACTGGAGAGTCAGACAGAGTAGTAGCCGCATTTCCTGCAGGAATGGGGCAGAAGTTCTCATGCTTGCCTGGATGTCAAGGCCAGGGCTTATGCCGGCGATGAGCCAGAAGTGCTTAAAGTTTATTCTGCCTGTTGTGTTGCCCTGCCCGGGTTATGCAAGCTTCCTACCCGCAGATCGCTAAGTACGCCCCACTAGTGTTCTCGTTGGGCATGCGCGCACAAGCAGGTGGTCGAACGGAATTGTCTTGTATGGATCTGTTTGCAATCTTGAAACCGTCTGACGTGCTAGTAGGATCTCACTGCACCAGGTGTGCAACTTAGGCAACACCTGATGGACTGATCCAGAGAAGCTGCACAGTTGCTTTATCCCTGTGCACTTTGACCGCTTCTGCCTTGGCTCTGTAGTTGGGGGGACAGCGTCATGTGCGCTGATCCGCGCCCCTTTTTTCAGAGAGTCTTATAGGGGTGCGAAGCTCAGCTCATTGATACAGCGTACTCGCCGTTGCGTTGTGCTGCATGTTTGTGCTCTTGAAGCCTTCAAGGTTACCACACCGGCCATCTGCTTGATAGCTTGATCCGTGTGCTGGCGACCTTTTTTCCCACGTTCTGCGTGGCTAGCCCTAATGTGTGCCGGCCATTTTTTTGCAAGCTGCTCGCTCTCACACACATACCTCATGCCAGGAAGCTTGTGGTCTCCTTTGTTCTCTTCCTGGCGCCAGTGCTGGCGTTCAAAGGTGACTGTGAGTTCACCCTGAGTGTTCACGTCAAATCATGTGTGTTCGCACCAGGATACATGTCTGAGCACCTCCTGCCGCAGGCAGTCGGCGCCATGCAGGAGAAGCTTCGATGGCCTGTGACTCAAGCGGGGGAACAGCAAATTTGGGAGAGATGGTGCCAAAGCGCCCGGACTTTCCGGATCTCGGGTGATGGATTCTGGCATCCTTCAGCTAAGCAACACAACTTTTTTCGAATGTCTCCGTGCCAGCACTACCAGGTCACATGCTCAGAATGCCGTGTCCCTGAGCGAAGTCTCAGGAGCCTCCAATTACTAGAAGGTCTGAGACCTTCCTGCAATTAACGCCCTCTTCTCAGCAGGTGAACATGTTGCATGAAATTTCACGTATATACACATGTACATATAAGTTTAGGTGAAGGAATATATATATATATATGGTCACGCCCCG